ATGGTATATTTATGATTTGTCATTTGATAATGATCCCTTCCATTCTGATAGTGAGATAGACCCCTCCGAAGACTTATGACAATCAAATACCCTACCATCCATAACCCTGGGTATAATGCTTTATTTCCTAGAAGGACCCTCACCAACCTCCACAATCATGGTGCCTCGAAAGTTGAAAGTGTAGTGCTTCTGTTAGGGTGGGGAAAACCCTCCACTCATTACCCTATCAACCCAAGATGCAGGATATAGCATACCACCAATGTGTCATTGCTTCGCGGAACATTCACCTCCCTCCATGATGATGTCCATGTAGAGTATTTATCCCCAACGGTCCCCTCCCGGCTACCCTATTGGAGTAACCCTGCTATTAACCATAGAGCAGAGCACTATCCTCCCGATCCACTCTTGCCCTCGAGCAGTGTTCCATTTCAACCCCTGATCTGCTCCTGCCCTCTAAGCCATTGAGTTCTCATCTTCACACCCCTGGCAGTGCTCCGTAAACCCTTCTCGTAGGTTTTATCTGTTGCACTAGGTTGGGGGGCGAGTACAAGGGGTGCCATGTTACTCCAACCAAGTTAGCACACAAGATGTGAGAGCTGGCGGGAATCAAATCAAGCCCACAACCTCTTGCATGCATCAAAGGAGTTATAAGCAAGGGCATTGGAATTTGCATTTTTTGGGTATGTCGTTGAAATCCTCTGATACTACATTACTTGAGTTTGAAGTAAAGGAAAAAGAATCGAAACAGCTGTAGGCGCTGCTCCAGGAACATAAAAGAAAAGCTGGACCCCACTTCCCTAATGGGGGCAAGCAGTGCAGGCACTGTGAACGTGACTGGCCGGTCATGAGAGCCGAAATCCCTGAACGACCGTTCGCGGGTTTTCCAGCCACGTGGCGGCCAGAAGTTTCGGAACTGCCAGGATCGGGCCCTTAGGGGGGTCACCGAGGGGCTGTCTACATCCCCGTGACTTCAAATATGAAAAAAAGAAAACTTTAAATGTGAAAAAAAAGAAACCAAGAACGGGGGTGTCGTCTGCGTAGATGGTTGAAGAATCTTTTTTTTTTGCCGGGGGGGGTTGGGGGGGGGACCGTCAGCGCAGGGTTGTCTCTTTCTCGCCACCTCTCTCTCTCACAGATCTCTCTCTCTCTCTCTCTCTCTCTCTCTCTCTCTCTCTCTCTCTCTCTCTCTCTCTCTCTCTCTCTCTGCCTCTCCCCAAGGTGAATGCCGATAACGGGGCAGGCGGAAATGTATGATTGGGCGGGTGTAGTGCTTTATTGCACCAGCACCTCGAACACTACCGGGTGGTACCGGCCAATCATGAAATGAGGACCTTTTTTTTTTTTTTTTTTTTTTTTTTGCCCTTTCCTTCCCTCACGGGATAGTACGGTGCCTGCGCCCAAACGTTATGTTTTTTTTTTTTTTTACAGCAACAGAACATCTCGACAAGGCTCACAGGCAACTAATGCCTCGTCTAACACAAATGAATTTTTTTTTTTTTTAAATTGCTTCTCATCATGGTTACCAGACAGAACGTTCCAACCCCCCGAGCTGACCCCCAAACGTTCGGGCGTTCGCCTATTTTTTTTTTTTTTTCTTGAATGTTTTTTTGTGAGTTTTTTAGGACATGCGGTAGACAAATATAAATTTTCATGGCATTTTGTTGAGCTAAAAAAAAAATAAAAATCGTTAAAAATGACGGTGTTATAACGTGCTCTGCTACTTAGTATTTTTTTTTTTTTCACTTTTCACTTTTGTTGTGATTTTATTTTGATGCCTCAAATATTTTATTAGTTTTTGAAACTTTTTGCATGTGTTTCGTATTACGTGAAGCACACATAGGTAAAGTTGCAGGGAATTTGGCTATGCCAAAAAAAAAGGAAAATCGCCAAAGATGGCGGTTTCGAAAACGGGCTTGCCCACTCATTAATTTTAATTCTCAAGTTTCTCTTTCTTATTTTTCTTATTTTTCTTATTTGTATTTATTTTTGTTTTTTTATTTGTATTTCAAATTTGGTGAGGAATTTGGATGTAATGCTCAGGCAAATGTTCCTTAGTTTATTTTTCTACATAACATATGTTTTTTGCAGATTTGTTTGAGGTTTTTTTGTTTTTTTGTTTTTCTTTTTTTTTTTGGGTCCGCGTTCGGCCCGAACGGCCGAACGCATTCCCAAGGGGTCCCATACGTTCGGGCGTTCGGGTTTGGGTGTTGGCCCGTCCCGAACGCCGACCACCCTGCTTCTTATAAATAAAAAAAATAAAATCCTGTGGAAAAAAAAAACTTATATGGGCAGGTGCCTATGGACACCACGCACACGCCAGTAAAAAACAAAACACTTCCCCCAACCAAAAAAAACAAAACCCGTTCCCGCTCAACGTGACCTTCGTAAACTCCAACCGAACAGATTTCGTTCACGGACCCCACGAATGGTTAACAGGGGTACGGCACTGGGGCAGGGATTTCACTAACCATGGATGAATTGCAGACATGATAAAAATACCAAAAACTGGCAAAGAGACAGAAAATTCTTCTCCTTTCTCACGACAGTGTAAGGGTCCAGCACTTGGAATTCGGTATGCCCAACTTCGTTTGCAGCCACTATTCTGCGTGTTGTGCCATGATACCCACCCTCCAAAAGCTTCAACCAAATACTTTACCTTGCCTTACAAGCACGGATGAGTGTGGGGTCCCGAAACTTCAGACACCTAGGTATGCATGTGGCATTTTGGAGGTCGTGGATCCAATGCCCACCGACCGTCTGGCCACACTTGGTGGCAACCAACAGAGATAGTTGGCTTGCATCCATAGTCAGTATTGGCAGGGTGTTTGGTCCCCCTCAGGGCCCTCACTGGCGGCCCCACACTACCCCCTGACTGCCGCCAATTAGGGCGGGGGACAACATGCATCCTCTTGATAATCCTTAGGAGTGGTGGTAGATAGGCAGTGAAAGGTGAAAAAGAGAGAAGAATATAGGTTAGTTTAGAGAAAAAAGGAAATTTAATCGTTGTTGACCTGACTTTCCCTAAGTGATTCATTCAATTCCGTCTCGGTTCGAGCTCAGGTCAACATTTCAACAGCTCATGGGTTTACTCTGCACGGCATGAAAAATATCACAGCGGTGTCTATGGGCGTCGTTCGACACTCCTCGGGGACGTGATTCCGAGGTTTCCGTCGTCGTTCCACCTCTCCTCGGAGATGAAATCAAAAATGAAAATGTGAAAACACTCCGAGGACAAATCCTTGGGCTCCGAGGATTTCCCAGCCAAATTATCCTCGGCTCCAAAGGACCTCGCGAGGTCCTTCGGGGCCCGAGGATCCGTGTTTCACGGAGAGGAGAGGGCATGCACGTAGAGAGACGATACAACCGAGAATTCTGATCATTGCGGCACCCTATTGGCTGAAAGCCTGAAGCACAACTTTGGCTTGGATCCCACTGGCCGGCGGCGTGGAAAACCTTTGGCGAGGAAGCCTATTTCAGACCCCACAAGTGTTGGAAACCGTTGTGGAAAGTCATCAAGGAAAGGAAAATCAGACCCCATTGCGATTGGAAAGAGGTCGTGGAAATGCAGACGGGGTGTTTCTTCTCGGCTCGCGGTCTGGAAATTTCTGGCGACGAGTTTCCAAATAGTTTCCAAGGATGGCTCCAGACGAGTAGGGGGGGGAGCATGGAAAAGAGTTTCCAGAAAGCGACTGGACGACGCGAACCACGGACCGTAGCCGTGGACCGTTTTGTGGACCAGTGCTTCCGCGCGGACACGGTTTTCATTTTCTTGCGTCGCACCGTTCCCACCGGGGCCCGGGGGGGTCTGGGCCCTCTATGCTACCCTCGGACTGCGAACGGCAACACGCAGTATTTCAAATTTGATTTTTTTTGGCGGGCTCGGGACGTAGGCCAGCCATGCAGTCGCTTCGTGACCACCGACTTCAGTGGCAGAAGCATCGGGAGTGACACCCTTACGTCATCGTCGTCGACACGTCCATTAAACCCTCCGACGTTTCTCACGGGCGTTATGCCATCACTCATCTCCTTCGCTCGTGCAGGTTCCCTGGCCTGCCAACGGGGAAGCCATCTCTAGTGGCGTCGGCAGGCGTTCTCTGACCGGGGCTTCCATTTCGAAGCCGTAGGCGTTGTGCCGAGTAATGTCTGCAAAACGCACAACCCGGCCACGACTCTCTCGCTATCTGCCCGCGCGCACACGTGTCGTCCAATGCTGACCTCCCGTGTCGTCGCCATTGCACATGCCTTGCTCCGTCGTGTGCCTCCCTTGCCATCCTCCCTTCTTCGTCTGCCTCGGCAGGGCGGTCGTTTGTCCTCGCCGGAGAGCAACACCAGCTCATGTGGCCACGGGTGGGCTGCACGGGACGATGTCGTCATAAGTCCTCATCCAAACACTCGCCACGTGTCGGTTGTCGAACGCTATGGTCGGCCGTGTGGATGTGGCAGCTGCCATCGTCACTGTTCAGTGGATGTTGTCATAAACAACCACTGCGGTGGCTGCGGTCTACGAAAACAACCATCTTTGGCTGTTATCGCTTTCGTGCTTACCGTTGCTATCCTCATTTCCGCAGCGTTTGTGTTGTCCGTTGTTTTCTGGTGCACAATCGTGTACTTGTGCTGTCGTCGGTGGAGGTAAGCAGCCAGATGGAGTCGTACCGGTCGACGACAGATCCCTGTGCAGGCAATGGCGGGGTTTTCCAGACCCAGGACATGCGACAGCAAGGATGTGTCCACTACTCCATGCCTTCGCCGTCGAGTGTGCAATCCTTCAGCGGGCAGATGTAGGAGGTTGTGCGTGCGGGGCCGATTCAAGTGCCTCCTGCTCGTGCGGGCTCACCATCTGTCCATCACGTGGATGCTGCACGTCGGCGGTTCGTTGTCCGACCCACTGCAGAAAGTCTGCACGCGGGCGCCGTGCACACGGGCCAGACGTCGTTTTGCACACAGGTTGGAGGCGGGTATGGCATGCCTTCTCCGCACATGTTTCCGGGGGCCGGCGGATATGGCATTGTGCTGCACGTGTACCCCGCCCAGCACACTGTGGACAGGGGCGGAGTGATGAGGGACGAGTGGCAGTGGTCCCACAGTGCCGACAACCGTCGCAGCCCATGCATGGCGCGTTGTCCGCTTCCTCGCCCATGTCGGTGCCGCGGTCTGCTGCTGAGGCCTCACCTTCGCTGGCAGAAGTTCAACGAGAGGATATGGACGGGGGGTGGCCTGTCCATAGTCGTGCTCCATCTCCTGCCGGCTTGCAAGGTCCTTCCTTTGGTGGCGAGGAAGACGACTTCGTTGGCGACGATGAAGTTGAAGGTGATGGCGGTGGCGTTGATGGGCAAAACTCGGATAACGCGCAGGAGGAGAGGGACAATGCTATTGTCGGGCAGAGAGATGGGGGCGAGAATGAAGCGGGGCCCCAAACCAGCAAGCGTGCAAACAAGCGGGGGGGGAAAGATGCTTCTGCGAAAAGCAAGAAGCAAAACATCCCTTGGTCCTTGGATGAGAGGATCGCGCTGTCCAAAATTATGGCCGAGGACGACGCCCTTATGGCCGACGCCGATGGGCAGCATCGGTTTAACCGGAGCAAGGACCGGTATGAGTGGGTGCACGATCGGATGGCGGAGCTGGGGTTTCCGCACAGGTCGGCAGAGGATTGTCGTAAGAAGTGGCAGGGCATGATGGCTGCCGCGAAGTTGATTCTCGACAAGTGTGAGAATGCTTCGGGGAAACCTTCCTACTGGGACATGACCCTTGAGGAGCGGAAGGCGGAGCAGGTTCCACTAGGCTTTGAGAAAGCTCTGTGGGAAGCGATGAAGTGGAAACTGAATCGGCCTTCCATCAAGTGCGACAAGACGCTGGCGTCGGAGAACCTGCCAGCTAATGCGGGGGGGAATTCTTCGAGCGGCGGTCCTGCACAGCTGTCGTCGGGGAGGAGCGCTTCTGCCGGGAAAGCAACGGAGGATTCGGACCACGCAGCGAAGACACGGAGGACAAACGCTGGCAAAGCGAGGATGGACGACACGATCAGCGAAGGGACAACATTGGGTAGGGCGATGGAGGACGCGAGAAGGTCTTACGACGAGGGTTTGGATACGGCCGCTGCCACTCTGGTGAGGGCAACGTCGGAGGCAGGCTCGACGATTGAGGTGAAGATCGGTGACGTGGCAGATGCCATGCATGGCGGGAACACTGTCCTTGAGATGCTCGTCGGGGTTCTTGCAAGGGGTGGAGGTGGGGGGAAAAGTGTTGCATACGATAGGCGGGATACAGACCCCTCTTCGCAGTAATATATATATATATATATATATATATATATATATATAAAGATGGGTACCGGCTGTCGTTTCCCACCCCCGACGTCCACAACGGGCGTCCCCTCCCTTGTCCTGTCACCATCAACCGGTGAGTACATGTTTGCGGACACACCAGTTAATGGTGACCGGACAAGTGATGGGACACCCATCGTGGATGTCGGGACGAGGAAACGATAGTCGGCACCCGTCTTGCCCGTTGTGCACGTGTGTCTGTGGCCGGTGCCTGGTATACATATGTGGGCAGTCGCGGCTTCGCTAGGCAGCGCAGTCATTGGTGGGCGTTCTTCAGTCGACGACGAATTCATTGCGAAATGCGGAGTTGCCTGCACGTGAAGGCAGAGAGAGAGAGAGAGAGAGAGAGAGAGAGAGAGAGAGAGAGAGAGAGAGAGAGAGAGAGAGAGAGAGAGA